AATTTAGGTTTTATCCAAAGATGATTTAATCACTTGAAAAAGACTGTTTAAAAAATGAATGGGGCTCTCTTTCTCTCTCACATTGATTTGTATTTCTTCTCCCCCCCCCTTCTCTAGATCTGATTCTGCTGAAGTTGTTAGTGTGAAAAAGTGATTAGATTATTTCAGTTTTACTGAAATGACTGGGAAACTTTGCAGGAAGAAAAAGCCAGTCTTTTGAATTTACCAAGGCTAAATGTCAATATTTTTAGGCATATTAGATAGGGAAATCTATGTTTACATTGAATAGAACAGAGTTAAGCTTTTTTAGATGGACTGTCCAAATCAGGCTAGGCAAATGTTTGTGTTACAGTAGAGTTGCATAATTCATTTAATTGCATGTAAAGTCCATCATTTGGCTGATCAAAAAAAGGGAACACAGTTATCTTTCTTGCTTTTTATTTACTTTTTCATATTTTTGCTTTTATTAGAAATCATTAGATTTACTGTTCAATGATTCTGTCAGAGAAGTGTTATAATTTATTACATTATTCTTCATACAATTTTATCTATAATATATTTTGCAATTTTGTCAACTTTATTGCATTCAGTTTTCATGGAAACGGTTAAAATCAGATATTCAGGAGTAAAGATAGATAATAGAGAGCCTGAAATATATATGTTGTAGCATACCTACAGGCGATAATGGGTATTCCCCCGCCCCAATCCCATAAATACAGTAGCGAATACTGTATGTGTGGGTCTGGGGGTTTGCAGTTGGAGTTTCATTGTGAAATTCACTTGACTCACTTCTAACAGTTGACTACTACTTCTACGTGCAACTGGCGAATCTTATGTGTGTTGTTCTTGTCCTAAGTATTATCGTTCATTACCAACCTTCGTGTGATTATTCTATTCAGTAACCTTTCCAAGGTTACAACAATATATATATGTATGTATGTAAATATATAAATTTCACCCCAAGCAAGGCAATAAAGCCACTAAGATGCAAGGTGTTACTGAGTGTCGGAGAATATGAGGGAAGAAAAACTATTAATGAGAAAGAACAATAAAAGAACAGGAAGTAAGAAGATAACTGTTATGGTCCAAGTTCCTTGTGCCACGGGTGATGGTCCAAGGTTAGAACCAATGAAAGAATAACACGAACACAGGTATGGAATACAAAGATATATTACAACAGAAATATAATATAAAGAAGTAGAAGTATTAGTAATGACTATCAGATTTGGTTAGAGTGAACTATGTTGTCTCGACAAGTATCACTATTCCAATGTCCTTACAATATGCTCTCAATTATCTCTCCTCATCTTACAATCTCCTCATACCTCTTAAGAGGCGCAGTATTTATAATGTCAGGAATAGTCCATTATTATTAGGGGTAAATTCCCATAACAATAACGATTGACATTGCATTTAAATTTTTGAAGATCAAAGTTGACTGGAAAGCAGAAAACTCAAATCGCATTCCACAAATGTGAAGGGCAAGAAAAAAACTGTTATCATAGAACTTACAGTTACATCTAACCCTTTCAAGTGTAAAATGATGAGACCTTGCCAAAGTCTAGTACTGTGCTTAAATTCATAAAGTCAAGGTACCAAAGAGGAAAGCTCATCAGAATAATTACCATGAAAGTATTTATAGAAAAGGCAATGGGCACCTAGATTACAGCAATGGAAAAGTGACTGAAGCCAAGATGCCAGGTCAGGATAAATAATATTGCAGATTATTCTTTGTGTTATATCAAGAATCTTTAAATATTTTGCTGAATCACCAGACCAGATGTGGCAGCAATATTCAAAGCATGGAAAAATGGTAAACTTATAAATGTGTAAGATAAATTCTGCTGAGAAAAATTGCATGACAGAGTGAACCAACATTTTATGGCAGTAAACCAAGCAATAAAATCTCTCCAAATTATGTCAGTGGAATACATTAACCCAAGAAGGCTATTTTTATTTATTTATATATATATATATATATATATATATATATATATATATATATATATATATATATACTATTTACATTATTCGGACTATTGTCTTCATCTTTGTCGCCATATTTATTGTGTTTTGGCTGTTGTACACTCTGGCCTTCTTCAGGTGGTTGGAATGTTGAACTGAACCCTTTATTTGGCTCTCTGGGGTAGACTGTTCTAGTTCCACTTGCAATGTTTAATGGATGTCAGTTATCTCCTGTTAATTTCCCTCTCCAAGTTCTCCACTGCCTTAACACAATGGCACAGTGGATAAAGACATTAGTTAGATCCAGTGACAGGACCCAAAGAGTGTGAGTTCAATACCTGGTTATATATATATATATATATATATAAACAAAATAAACTTTTTTTTGTTATACCAATCACAGGGTGATTTTCAATTGTGAAGAATTCTTAAAAGTCTTGTTTTATTGTATTAATCTGTCTTGATTGTGTTTGTATATTGCCAACAAATATCTTTTGAAAAGGTGTTGGTCAAAAGGATCTTAAATGTTAAAAAAATAAAAAAATTGTTTATTTTGTTCAAATCTGTTTTATTTCTGTGGGTACAAGTCCTTGTTATATATATATATATATATATATATATAAGTAAATAAACCTAAAGAGCCAGAGTAACCTACCTAGGTTTCACCTACGCGGTAGGTCAGGCCAGACTGACGATCCGTGTAGGTGAAACCTAAGTAGGTTAGTCTGGCTTTTTAGGTTTATTTACTTATTTTGTTCTACTTAGCATATTGAGCACTTTGTTTAGTTATTTTACTTTACTCATGTCAGAGTTTTTTTCTTTGGACTCTGAACTTAAATTCTAGACGATTATTTTCGCTGGAAGTACATGTTCTTTCCCTTTTTTTTTTTTACCCTATTTTCCCCCTTGGGTATTGGTTTGTTCATTTACAAGCTAAAACACCTAAGGTTTTGCCGGACGAGTATAGCTGCTTACATTTATAAGGTATATATAAACACGCACACACACATATATATATATATATATATATATATATATATATATATATATATATATATAGTGTTGGTACAACGAACAGAAAACTTGCCAGGTAACCATGATGCTAACAATGAATATAGCAAAAACCAAGAAAAAAAAAACACAGGGAAAACTAAAATGAAATGAACGAAAAAAAATGATCAAAAGGCTGACACCTGCCTAAACAATAGCCAACAGTGCTATATGCATGGGTCATCAAATTAGAAAAACATTTCACAGCATTACATGTCAAAAAGAAGCAAAGTTTGGATCTCTGCTTAAGTTTCACGCTCCCCTGATTGTCAGACAACCAGAACACACACAATAGAAAGGAAAGGAGTTAATACATATATGTGGATAGCTAGCTTTCAAACTGAATTGTACATTTGAGTTATTCCAAAAACTTGGAAATAAATTCCATCTGAAAAGTTTTTAATGATAAATGACAGAGAAGGGTTACTGAGATATATATATATATATATATATATATATATATATATATATATATATGTGTGTGTGTGTATTTGTGTATTTAAGCAGCAATCCTCCTTTCATGCACATTTCATTGAAAACAACAGATGAGGTGCTTTTATTTAGTCTTTTATACAGTTTCTCATGTGATCTAATAATATTTTTTTTCTTTTTGTATAAATTATATAAAAATTGTCTGAATGTTCTTTTTATCTGAGCGCTTTCAGCTATACATTTAGCCATTTTCAAGGATTAAATATTTTAACTGTGAAAATTAGAAATAGTTTGTTGTATGTATGTTTTATAAAATGTTTACATTTTTTTTGCTTCAAAACATGGTCAAGATATTATGTCCATGTTTAAAGTTAATATTATTAAGTGTTGGTTTGTTTGTTTTTATTAATAAGGCTTCCATTATTTTTAGCCTTTTTTTTTTTTGCATGTGGATGAATCTATTATATTAGTGTTGTCAACAAGTATGTTCCGAATAATGTCTGGTAGGTCTCCATGAATATTTAAATGAGATCTAATCGAGCTATTGTCAGAAAGGTGTAGAGTTAGTCTGCATGTCAAACATGTTGCAGTGTGGCCTATATAATTATTTACGAATTTTGATTGATCAGGAATACAATTCTTTAATGGGCATTTAAATTTGTAAATAATATTTGTCTCATTTAATTTTGTTCTAGGAGATGAATTATTATTTTTAACTATAAGGGTAGAGGTTTTAAATTTTTTATTATAAATAAATAATCTAATTTTTTTTGCTATTGTCAACTGGTATTATACATTTTTTTATAATGTTCTTAATTCTGCATTCATCCTGTTTATAATTTTTCGTTCATTTGATTTTTATAAAAAATATTATTGTTTATGTTTCTATTCTCATCGTTACTATTAGCTACCTTAGACAAGAAACGCCTAATGTGGAAATCCAACAATTGATTATATAATAAGCTATTTTTCTCCAAATTTATCTTAATGTGTTTCACACCAAAGGATATTAATTACTATTTTCATACCTTCATCTGTTAAGCACCAAGCTACATTAATTACATGATGCTTTTATATTAACTGTCATGTATTGCTGCAACTAATACCTGCTTTTCTAGTGATGCTGTTTAATGATTAAGGAATCCAAATTGTATTTTTAACTCCCATCCCTGAAGAAAAATGTTGGCACTGATGGTGTTAATCTAAAGTGATGGCTAAAGATGATGATTAAAATTATTACGGGCAAGCTGAAGAAGAATCAAACCTTGATTCTAATCTTTTAAATGAGCACAGAAAATAAAAGAGAATGAAGTTCAAATCCATTGTATTTGTTCCATTCAATTCTGCTGTTAACATCTTGGAATGTAGTGATTCTCAAATTAATGGCCACAATCCAAATGAAAGTTGCAAGGATGCTCCTTGTGGTTTAAGGGGAAAATGTTAAAGGTAAAAAAATAGTGCAAATATATTGACATCAAAATTATAGACTGAAAGGTATTATTGAAACTCAGGATTAGGAAAATAGTTGGGAATGAGAAGGCATCAATAAATATATGAAAATCATTCTTTTCTTTTCATTTCTCTTTTTCTTTTCATTCCTCTTTTTTCTTTGTTTGCATTCCTCTTTTTTTCTTTGTTTGCATTCCTCTTTTTTTCTTTGTTTGCATTCCTCTTTTTTTCTTTCTCTTTCTTTTCATTTTCTCTTTTTCTCTCTCTTTTTCTCTTTTTCTCTCTCTTTTTCTCTTTTTCTCTCTCTTTTTCTCTCTCTTTTTCTCTCTCTTTTTCTCTCTCTTTTTCTCTTTCTTTTTCTCTTTCTCTCTTTTTCTCTTTCTTTTCTCTTTCTCTCTTTTCTTTTCTTTCTTTTCTCTCTTTTCTCTTTTCTCTTTCTCTTTTTTCTCTTTTTCTTTTTTTCTTTTCTCTTTTTTTTTTTCTTTTTTCTCTTTCTCTTTTTTCTTTTCTTTTCTCTTTTTTTCTTTTTCTCTTTTCTCTTTTCTTTCTTTTCTCTTTCAACCAATGCTAATGTACTGAGACAGCTGATTCAATCACAATATCATTTCTTACCTCAATTTGAATGACTAACATGTTGAAATATTCACAGAAGATACATTGACATAAAGTTGTGCTTATTTTCTTTAATCTACATGAGAAATATTAAAATTTATTGGTTATTAAATTGAAGTAAAATTCACTGAAATTTATTGAATGAAGAAATAGGGATGATCAAAATAATTATAATGAGGGTAATGGCCAAAATCTTTTGGGAAACATTCCTGTTTTTTTTTTTTTGTTTTTGTTTTTTTATTAGAGATAATTTGCATGACTGAAATATTACTTTTAATTCAGTCCCCAATTTTGACTTCCAGTATTTTAATGATGAAATGTAACTGGCACTTAGTAACAAGACCATTGGTGATATATTTGTTAGCTTTGTATTTTTATCATGAAGTTCCTTTATGCAGAATGCTTTTACAAGGTAAACTATTGGAACTGTTTTTTCCTTTGTGTATGATTTCAAGATAATGCTGAAGGCTGTCTTCTAACCTGTGTAAGGCTAATTTAGACTGACAGAAGAAAGATAAAGGAAAGATTGATTTGGGCAGACCAGACAAGAGAGGAGAAGATGGAGATCCCACACTGATAGATACAGCTATGTTCCCCACAGGGAGATAAGCTTGAAATACATCTGGAAAGTGATTTGTATAATGGTATGCTGAAAAATTATCACTCACTTTTCAAAATATTAAAACAATTGATATTTGATTATCTCTTATTGGTTGGGGCAAGAACTTTTCAGCACTCTTTCATTGTGGTTATTTAGGAAGGCTGAAAAACTTTCTTTTCCTCATATATGGTGTTGTTTGTCCTTGGAAATGAGGATCATTGAATGACCCAGCAGCCTATCACCTGGTCTATACTTTTTGGGTCTTAGTGGCATTATCACCTTGCTTGGAGTGAATTGATGAAAAAAACAAACAAAAAAACTGCTTAATTGTCATAAACTGTTTTGAGAAGGAAAAGTTCCAATATGTCTTGGACAATTTCTAATACATTATAATTTATACACTTCATTCTCTTATGTTTTAGCTTCTTTTTCTTTCTTTTCCTTTTTTTCTTCTTTCTTTTCCTTTTTTTCTTCTTTCTTTTCCTTTTTTCTTCTTTCTTTTCCTTTTTTTCTTCTTTCTTTTCCTTTTTTTCTTCTTTCTTTTCCTTTTTTCTTCTTTCTTTTCTTTTTTTCTTCTTTCTTTTCCTTTTTCTCTTCTTTCTTTTCCTTTTTTCTTTCTTTCTTTTCCTTTTTTTTTCTTTCTTTTCCTTTTTCTCTTTCTTTTCCTTTTTTTTCTTTCTTTTCCTTTTTTCTTTCTTTTCCTTTTTTCTTCTTTCTTTTCCTTTTTCTCTTCTTTCTTTTCCTTTTTCTCTTCTTTCTTTTCCTTTTTCTCTTCTTTCTTTTCCTTTTTTCTTTCTTTCTTTTCCTTTTTTTCTTTCTTTTCCTTTTTCTCTTCTTTCTTTTCCTTTTTCTCTTTCTTTTCCTTTTTTCTTTCTTTCTTTTCCTTTTTTCTTCTTTCTTTTCCTTTTTCTTTTTCTTTTCCTTTTTTCTTCTTTCTTTTCCTTTTTCTTCTTTCTTTTCCTTTTTCTCTTCTTTCTTTTCTCTTCTCTTACTCCATTCTTTTATTGTCTTCTCTTACTCCATTCTTTTACTGTCTCTGGATGGTTAATGATCTTATGTTTAGCAAATCCTTTTGAATAGGAATAGAAGTTTATTCCTTTTTACTGTTTAGGATTAAGTTTCTGGTTTCTTTTAAAGTCTTTTCATTCTCTTTCACTTCCAGTAGCTCCATTGCATCTTAGTGGCATTATTGCCTTGCTTGGGGTGAGTTGGTTAAAAAAAGAAATCAAACCAAATAAGGGTTCTCTTAATAGATACAAAATATAAATCAGATTATAATTTTCTTTTCATCAATGTTTTCTTTGTGGATTAGAAGAGAGTTACCGTCAAAGTTTAGCCATTTTCTCAGCTGTCTCTTACCCTTGTCTTGGGAACTCATGGATTGAATATATTACCAAAAGTGACAACAGTACACATTTTAGTTAACATGATACACTTTCTGTTCTTATGAAATCATTAGATGAAGTTATTTAAATAAACATTGCAATATTTCATCCAATACATTCTCCAGCCATCCTTCAGTATTAGTTTAGTTTATGTTCTTTTTTGTGCTATATGACAGTTATTTTTCAAACAGTTGAATTCCTAAAAAAAAAAAAAATCCAAGTAGGTCAATTTTCTTTACTATTTTCCCATGACTTGTCTTGTTGACATTTTTTTTTTGTTTTGTTTTTCCAGCAGAGCATTGGTAAGGGTTCTTTATGGTGCATTGATCCTGACTATAGACCGAACTTGCTGCAAGCTCTACGCAAGACCCCCTATCACCCGTATCATCAGCTACAAATGTTGGCTAGCAACCAATCTGCACAAACAAATGCCAACAACCTCAGCAGCAGCCAATGGTAAGTGAGAATTTAGCAAAACACTTGAGTTTCTTCTTTCTTTTCATTTTTCTTTCTTTTCTTTGCATCTTAACCAACAGAAATGGTATCCCAACATAATAATTGTCTTGGTTATTTTTTTTCTCATGGATGCACATATACTGTTAAGCAACATCTCAAAATCAGAACTGACACCAAAAAGCATTTTAGTAATGATATTCATCTCAAAGAATTAAATTGATAAAGATAATTAATACTTAATTAGATGTCTTATATTATACGTCCAGCAATTACATTTAACCCTTTAGCTTTCAGCACACTCAAAACCACCCTCTAAATATCAGCTCTCAAAGTTTCACTGTTTGACTGTCTGCATTATTTGTGATGATGATGTCATATATTATGGCAAAGTATATAAGGCAGTACATCTGAAATGAAGAAAAGTTTAGTAACACATTTTGGTAATGATGTGTCAAAAGTTGATTGTACCTGATTAGTATGTAGCACACATTTTTAAATGTGGCTTGTTGGTATGCTTTTAATCGACTCTGAAGCACCAAATTTACTAACTTATTTAGTTTGTTTCATATAGATTTAAACAAATACAACACAGAACAGTACATGACCATATTGGCAGGAAAATTAGTGTATACACACAGACACACAAGTATTGTAAACATGTCCTGTTAAAAAAAAAGTAAAACATTTCATGCCTATTAAATGTATTGATCTTTTTTCTTTTTCTATTATGCAAATAATGTTTTAAAATGTTTAAAGATAAAATTCACATTCAGTTCAAACTGACATGCATTATAAGGTGTGTGAGTAAGAAAAGCTTGGACTCCAACATACAAACCCACACACTCTCAAATATGAATGCACATTCTACACTCTTACTCACACTCCTGATGATGACGTAAGTAAAGAAAAGTATGGAGTCGAAAGCTCGGACCCAATATAAATTTTCATTATTTATACAATACAGTTCAAAAGTTTGAAACTTCCCCCAGAATTAGCATGGAATGAACTTTGCATAAGAGTTAAACCTTTCCATCCAAAAAATGAAAAAGAGCTCTTAGAGTCATTGAAAAAATAATGGGATCAATTATCAAATTTATAATTTGAGAAACTTTTGCCAAAAATTTGTGCTGCTAAGGCCAAGGGAGGATATTTTGACAAGAGCAAAATTTAATCATAAAATGTTTCTTTTTTTTTCTTTCTGTCAAAAGAAAATTTCTAATAAAAAATCCTGTCTCACTTTTTTTTAACCATGTATATATAATAATTTTCTCCTATTTAAAGTACAAAAATACTTTTTGGGCCAGTTTCAAAAATTACCAGGAGTAGCCTCAAACTTTTGAACTACAACAACAATCACATTTGCAAAAGTTATTGACATACTAGAAAAAATGATCAATAAATTCAATAGACATAAAATATCTATTCTTTTTAATAAGACATGTTTGCAAGAACAAATTCTACCAAAATATTCTGAGAATATCTATCTTATAATAAAGAGAATGAACAGTAAGATATATAATCTGGTGTTCTTATTAATTATTTTTATTTTTACAAAACATTGCTCAATGCAAATCTACAGAGCATAAATATTTATTTATTTAAAATAAGTTATTCCAAAATTCTCTTGAAACTGAAACAGGACTAGGGACTTTAATTTAATTCTATAATTGAATTGGAAGTTTTTACTTTCTGTTTGTGAAACATTGTAATTCCACTGTAGCGATGGAACCATATTTTTAAATTAGTAAATTTAATTTATATATATATATATATATATATATATATATATATATATATATATATATATATATATATATATATATATATATATACACACATAAATATATCAGGTGTAAAAGCAAAATTGTGCAAATTATGTTACTGCATAATTATCCATCCCACAAAATGTTTAATATCTTAAAAAAAAAAAAATAAATAAACTAATCGAGTTTTTTTTCCAGGTTTTCACATGAGGCATTTAGCCACCTTGACACCATTTTGATAAGAATCACTGTAAAACCTTTTAAGTTATTTAGTTATAAAGAGAGCAGGTTAAAATTGTCTTGTGTCAGCCCCACTGTCTTCCCAACTGAGCAATAGTGAGAGGAAAAAGATCATTTAGGCCTTAAGTAATGGTACCATTTTCAAAGTCCGTTCAAGATACATCAAGAAAATGGTGAATAAGTTTAAAAAAGGGGGAACAGTCAAGAGGAAAACTGGATTGGGAGGTCACAACAGGAAGAGGTATCATCATTTAAAGTGATCAATTAGAAAAGATCCAACTCAATCCATAAAGTTTGGCATGTTAGAGAGGAGTTTCAGCTATGACAGTCCAAAGTGCAGTGAATTATTAATTATAAATTCTTATTGCTCAAAGTAGATTCTAATAGTGTTATAAAAACCTTGGAGAATTCCAGTAAGATATCTTTAATCATTTCTAAGATACAATGGTTCAAAACTTAATCTAACAATTAGACAATTTTGCTGTGGCACCTATATATATATATATATATATATATATATATATATATATATATATATATATATATATAATTTAATAAATTGCAGACATTATGTCTGCTAATTTTTAACACAATCTGTTCATACTCATGAATAACCTTTCATGTATTGATGTTAAATAATGAGAGAAATGTGTTATAGCTGTTTAAATTTCTTTTATTTTACTTTCCCAAGTACTTTCGATCTTCTAAGATTATCTTCAGGGATGCAAGTAATACAAAACTATAAAATCAAGTACTTGGGAAATGAAAATAAAAAAGATTTAAACAGCTATAGCACATTTCCCTCATCCTTTAACATCAATACACGGAAGTTTATTCATGAGTATGAACTGATTTTGTTAAAAATTAGCAGGCATAATGTCTGTAATTTATTCAATCAGACATGCCTAAAAGTGAATTTGCTGCCTAAATACACAAATATACATATATATATATATATATATATATATATATATATATATATATATATATATATATAACATACACAAACAATTCTGGAAAATCCTTGTTGAAAACACAACTATACTTAAACATGAAAACAATAAACAAAAACTAAAAATTCTTGAAGCTATATACATAAAACAGTCGAAACCTAACCTGAACAAAATAAACTACGAAATCTCCACAAATATTCTTAAATGTATATAATTGATAACAGAAGCCATTGGTTTATACCAACGGCTTCCCATACTTAATACTTCTCATTTTCACTTTCGCGTCTTGTATACAAGAGTTAGTCATTGCTTTGAAATTTTTCATGCCACAAAAACAGACTATCATTATTGTTTCGTCCGTGTATTGGTTGATATATTGAAATGTAATTGTCATCTTTGATAATGCGTTATGTAAGCCGAAAGCTTAGATTGGATTTAAACATGTATCGATATGGTGATTTCCTTTTGTCTTTCAATGATAATGTTATTAAGCTTATCAGACAATATGAAAGGAACTTACTTAAAATAAATAGACAAAACTTGTCTATTATTTAATGAAACATGTTGCCATGAGAGATGTCTTGGGAATTTTTTAAATCTACAGGTTGTTTGAAAAGTATTGATGATTTTGGTGGGTGGTTCTTTGAATTTCTTTAGATTTTTTCTATAGCTGTTAACGGTTTAGGAATTTTTAACGTAACCCTTTATTCCATCCACAGAGGGTAGATAGTTCTCATTCTGCTGTTTTAATTCTTCCTTGTATTGACTTGACTCTTCTGTTGAACTAGTGCACAAGTTTTTTTTTTCACTACCCAAACCAGAGATTGAACTTAAAACTTCTTCACAACTAGATTCACTTAACCAATGCTCTTATCAACTAAACCATGTTTATAATACTTTCATGAATCATTTCATAAGTTGACTAAAAAAAAATTCTCCAAAATAAGATAAAGAGTGTATGTGTATACACCCTTGTGCAAATTAATTGAAACAAAATGAATAATTCCGTTTTTATTTCCTTTTTTATGTATTCTTCCAATGAAACATGACCCGTACGTCCATTCCACGAAGATCACAGATTCTCGATTGGATTTAAAATGAGTTTCCAAGCCAGTCGTTAGTACTTTGATTTGCTCACTGGTAAGGCTTGCCATTGTGTTTGTGCAGCGTTACAATTTTTGTATGCTTCCTTGGAGTACCGTCCATCACAAACAATGGATGTAGTAAAAATATGATGCAATAATGGATGATGCAATATTTTTCAAGGCCTAACAAATTT